TGCAAAATTGTGCAATAAATTAACAGTTCACCCTGATGATGAACAATCTGGAAGTTGAAATAATTCCTTTGGCTTAGAATTAACAATCATGGTTCTAACTTTTGTTCTCGTTTTGTTTTCCTAGTAGAACGTTCCTTAGACTTTTTTTTCTTATTTTTTCTTCCTTAAAAACGATCTCGATACTTTACTTCTCATTTTGTTCTTATTAGAAACATTCTCGAAATTTTCGTTTACGTTCTGTTCTTCTTGAGGACGTTCTTCGGAATTTTATTTTGTTCTCATTTCGTACTTTTGAGAACATTCCCGATAGTTTTGCTCGCATTTTGTTCTTTATGGAAACGTTTCCGGACATTTTGTTCTCTTTTTGTTCCCATTCAAACTGCCCTCAATACTTTTCTTCAATTTGGTTCTTTAGGGGTAACGTTCTTGACATAATATTTTGTTCTCGTGATAAAACTAAACCAAAACCGGAGCGCGTTCCAGGTCCCTGCCATAAATTGTAGAAATTTATTTGAAATTTCCGCTTAAGCTTAGAGGGTCACTGAAGCATTGATAATAAAGTTTTCAGTGCATTGATATACATACATACATACATGAAATAGCGTTTAATTGATATCAGACTCTTACATAGGTAAGCTCAGATAAAATTGATCACTTTATAACAACTGTCATCAAACTGTTATCAAAAGATAAAATCTTCTTAAGGTAGCGGTTCTGGTAAGAGCGAATTTCATTCGCGCGAATTCGCTTATAATGTAACTATGTATATTGCTTTAGTGGCTTTCCGAAACCACAACATACCAGATGTATGCATTTCAAGGTCGAAGCGATGTCGCGCGTATAAAATTCGCTCTTACCGGAACCGCAGCCTTAACGTCAACCAAGAGTTCTTTGACTTCACCTATATACTCAACCCTTCTTAAAGACATAGTAAAACCACAAAAATAAAAGCACAATACCAATGAAATAACTTTTGGCCAACATCCTGCCAAAACTAAATAGGCTGCTATGAGTGAGATACATACTTACACTTATATGTACGAGTATCTACATACTAATTGCATATAGCCAACTATCGCAGTGCGTGTCCTCCTTACGCACAGACTTTCACCACACAATTTTCCGTTTCATTCAAGTTTCGTTGAAAACTAAATGCAACGCTTCAATGCACAATTTGCCTGTACACAAGAGTTTAAGACAGGGGGAAGATTGCAAGAGCCGAAAGACGAGTGAACGAAAGGAAATGAAGGAAGTTAGAAGGTTGAAGTGGAAGAGTAGTTATTTTAAAATTGGTATATCAGGATGCAGCTAAGTTGCTAGTATTTAATTAAACGTGTCCTTTCGTACACAAAACGAGATGAGGTTGTAGTCTTTTGTAGAGCATGAAGTCAAGGAATTAAAAAAAAAGGCATACAGACTGTGAGAGAAAAAAAAAACGGTTCTGAGCAGCTTTTCAAAGTTCTGGAATTCCTGAAAATGAAAACAAGTTTGGAAGATAATTTCAAACACTGTGTATGCCAGATTCATACGACATGTGGCAAAAATTATCATAAAAAACTGTTCTGAGTAGCTTTTCAATAGTTCTAGAGCTCCTTAAAAGGAAAAAAAGTTATACAAAATTACGAAAAAAAATTCAAAAAAGTCGAAACAGTTGAATTTTTAAAAACAATAATAATCAAAACTGTTCTGAGTAGCTTTTGAATAGTTCTAGAGTTCCTGAGAAGGAAAACAAAGTTCTGCAAAATTACGCCGAAAAAAAAACATTTTTTTTTATAAATGTCGAAAAAGTTAAAGTTAAAAAAAACATTTTTTTTTATAAATGTCGAAAAAGTTAAAGTTTAAAAAAAATTTATTCATTAACCTATTTTTTTATTTTAGGAAAGCTTTAATAATATTACAATTATTAAATAAACTAAACAGGAACGCAACGGAGGCTTTCATCTGTTAAAAAAAAAAAATAACAATAATAGAAATTAAAACTGTTCTGAGTAGCTTTCCAATAATTCTAGAGTTCCTGAAAAAAAAAGTTGTGCAAAATTAGGCAGACAATTTTTTTTTTAGTCGAAAAAGGTTAACTTTTGAAAAAAAAAATAAAAACTAAAACTGTTCTGAGTAGCTTTCACAAGTTCACAAACTTTAAACTCAATTCTAATTGAAGGTAGAAAAAGTTCTTGAAACAGAACAGCAATTGTAAAGTATTTTTTAATAAGAAGTTTGTATTATTATTTTAAAAAATTCCCAATTATCTGATTGCTCTCTAATTTGATGAAAGAAAACACTGCTTTTAAATCTGAGTGTTAACGGTGCCAATGTAGTACCAATTATTCATCGAATAGCCTTCGTTTCCAGCTGATATTTAATTTGTGTGCAAATTGCATTTCTTAAAGTGATTTCAATTGAGATTTACTGCTCTTTCCCTCAATTGCATCAATCTTCACCTCCTTCAGTGATTTATATTCTCGCTCGAGCACGTACAATGTTCGGCTTATCTTCAACTAAATAGCTTATCATTTAAAGCTTCTGCCTTCAGCTATTTAGCACTAAAGCATCAAGGAAGTCATGAGTAAGCCAAACGAGCACGATGATGAGCGAACGAGGCGTGTATGCGATAGGAAATCGCTTATTAGATTACTTTATTAATTAAGCTGGCGCTGTAAGTGCACAGTCGCCCGCACTCCTCATGGCTTTAATTTCATGTTTTGTAGTCTTTTTGCTACTCTGGTTGGATGCTTTCCTCGACTTCTGGCTGTTGTCATTCGTAAGCTTTGCTGCTCATTTCGCTTCGTTTGGCTTAATTAAAAGTTTTAATAGAAATGCATTTAAGTCAAACATATTTCTTCAGCCATTTAATTTCGATTTCAATGAAGAATCGTAATTTAGTGAGTGCTGATATTTACAGGTGGGAGCACTTGATGTATGATTGTTCGTCTTACCGCTTAATGAAGTCACTCCAGCAAATCGAAACTTTTAATTTGTTTAGTCAGTTTGCGGCAATATCTTCATTTTCGTTGCTTTATTTGACTTTCTCTCAAACAGGTGGTTGGAAAATGTTTAGCAATTCAGAAAGCACCTGTTGCTTTGATATATCTATTTCTATATTTACTGCGACTTTATAATTATAAAATTTACATTCACAGAGATATTGACAAAATGACAAACATTTAGTAGCAAATGTGACAAGAAATTTTAGGGTTCCTACGATTATGTCCCCATTTTGTAGACAAGTGATTGATGACAACTGCGGCCACCGTAGCCGAGTCGGTAGAGGTGCACCTAAGTTTGATTTCTGTGCGAGTGATCTCAAATATACATACATATGTACTTCTACGTTAATAAATATCAAGTTTTAAAATTACACAAAA